GCCTCTGCTGAGAGGCAATCTACAATTGGGATGCGTGGTTCTGCACCTTTCTCTGTGCCACTGCAGTAATGGGACAGATCCTTTGCTGTTGGAACAGCTCCAGGAGCTGTCTCTCACAAATAGGATCCTTCTAGAGAATATAAAACTTCAGGCACAGCAAACCTTGAGCATGTCCCACAAGTTCAGAGACATTCATAACATCAGAGGAAGGGAGCATTCCTCAGTACCAAAACAGATCCCATCCCTCTTACAACATGGATGATACAAACTAGCAGGATACTAAACCTTCACAAATACTCCTTCATCTCTTTAAGGAGCACCATTTGTTGAGCAAAATCTTTGTGTAAGAGCATCTCTTATACATTTCACTGCATCAGAAGACTAAGGGTTCAACCCTAAAAGACGCTGGCTAATTAATCTACTGTATCTACAAAGGATATTCCAGAGTTTCTGGGATTTACTATGCTCATTACAGGCACTGAAATATCAGGTGCTTTATGGGAATGAAGATTCTCATTTCATCTCCATGCTTTTCACCACTGCATCACTATAGTGGCCTTAATGAAACACATCAGCAGCAGAGACACCACAAACCCCAAATTACCATTCACAGTTGAGTCATCAGCTGTATTATATATATACTGAAAAATGTATGTTCATTGCAGAAAAGCTCAGTTCAGCACAGGCACAAGTGGCATTTTGATTAAACCTTGCTGTTATATCCTCTTTGTTAAAACAATATAGACTGGTTTTATTTGTGAGGGGTGGAAATCTGCAGACAAATCAGATACATAATCCAGAGAAGAACAGATCCAGCTTGTCTTAACTGGCATGTTTATGAAATGACTGCCAGGCTGAAGTGAAAATGAATCTCCCTAGAAGCCCTTTTATTCTTCAAACAAGTAAACACTGCATTTTAATAACTATGTCTCTTCTCTGACTTAAGGGACTTGAACTGCTAGAGGCAATGACTAGTTAGCCTCCTGCCTGCTTCTCCAAGCAACGTCATGCAGTTTGAAACTAACCTGGTGCGTTAGTGCGGAGAAGAGGCTTTTCTCTTAGGCTGCTGTTCTAAAAGCAAATCTCTTTACCAAAACATTACTTCTCTGTCCTGTTATAGCTGAATTCGTGTTCTCAGCACAGCTGGTCTGCCACTTGTATTATTTGCCCCTTCTCGGCCAATTCCAAATCACTTTCTCACGTATGTACTAGAAGCATTAGAAGCAAAGGGATGACTGTGCACTTGCCTGCACTGGCTGCAAAGTGTGCTTATATCAGACTGTGCATGGATGCAAGTATATATAGTACTTCCTTTACCCGCAGGGCACATCAGCTAATAAGATAGATGAAGATCTGCAACCAAAGGGAATGATCGGGATTCAGTGTTGAGGGAGAAAACCCATCATGAGGATGCAGTGGGTGCATGGTGCTTTCATGCACATCTTCACATCAGGCTAGTGTGGGCAGGTGTCTTTAGACAGAGAGAGGGTTTATCTCTTTCCCCTTTAGAGCCACTGTTCTCTGTTGTGGCAAAACAATAGTAATTTCTCATAAAAATGGATCTGGCTTAAACTTCCTATACTAAACAGTGCCATCATCAGCTAGGAGTCTGTGGTATGCACTGGTGACTTCTCCCCAGCCCATGCTCAAGCTGTATGCTGTGATCTCTCATGCTCCTTTCAGTTCCGCCTCTAAGAAGAGCAGATAAAAGATAAAGGAAGAACTCACATGCTATTAGTGTCATACACTGAAATAGGGAATTGTTACTCCAAACTCAGGGCTGGAATAATCATCATGGTGGGATTGGGTTGAAGTAGGGTAGGACGGGTGGGTGGGATGAAGTCCTTCAGACTTCAGAGGTGAAGGTCACCACTGTATGAAGGCTGGATTCCTATTGCAGGGAATGGGTCTAGTTTCCATCATGGCATTAAAACTGGTTTGAAGAAAAGTCCTGAAACATTTATGATGAATAAAACACAAAGTTCCCCACTAAGCACTCAGGGGACAGCAGTTTTGTGGCAGACTGAGTGAGAAGTGGCAGAACATAGTGAGATCCTTCCCCTGCCAGCAGGACACTTACGACAGACTCACTTGCAGGACTCAGTGTAAAGCGTAAAGAGATGTTCAATTATGTAAATCTGGTTGATCTGTATATGTGAAATTAAGTGCTGCCAGCATTCACTTACTTGTCTGGCACCGAGTTATATTTTCATGAACACTTGGCTTACAGATGAAAAAGCTAGGGAGTTTAAGATAGTGCTCAGATCAGTTTTGTAAGCTGGAGGCATGCTCAGGAGCAGCAAGGACAATGCAGCCTGTAGAAAGACGTTTATCGTAACATCTACCACTCCTGAAGCCAAGTCACAGTCACTAATACAGCTCAAGGAGAGGATAAAAAGCAGCTGAAGGTTTTAGCCTTTCCCAAGCTCACCCTCACCTAGTCTAGGAATTACTCATATCAATAGAAAGGTTTACACAATATAAAACACAAATACAGTTGCATTATCAATTAGATCTTTCCACTGTGGGTGCTCCGAACTGATCCCAAAATGTTAATTAAGCCTCGCAATGGTCCAGAAAGGCTGACAGTCACAAGCCAGTTTTACATGTGGTGAGGGTGAGGGCTGAGGCTGGCACAGGACAAAGGCAGAAAGAAGAGACCTTGCCTCTGCTTATATCTTGCTCTGACAGCACTGCCTAATGTAATAACAGGCATTTAACATGCCTACACGCAGCATCAGCATCTGCTACAATGAAGATCAAGAGCACAGTGGTAGTATTACTATGTTAATTATAAAGTGCTACCTATACAGGAGCTGAGCCAGGAAAAACGATCTGTTCTAGCACAGAGCTAACTACAAAACAAGCTGCTCATTATATGGTAATGGAACCGATATCTAGGAGATGTGAAACCACAAACAGCATCATGATTGCATGACTCTAAACTGTATTTAAAAAACATTAGATACCAGATCCTAAAACAACAGGAAAAAGATCATTGTCTGGTTGTGGTTAATAGATGCAGTCATGATTTCAATCATGCCTTAAACTAACTCCCAGCAAACAAAAAAGCCTGCAATATCAGCAATATCCAATATCTATTTTGCTATCAGTGTTATCTTTGTTAAAATAACCCATGCAGGAAGTATTAGAAATAAATCTTAACGATTAAAGAGGGTCTAACTTTTTTGCTGCATACCTCCAGCTTTACAATGGATGAACAAGATCCAATGGGAAAATTATGATCCTTCCAGCCTCAAAAAAAAACATTTAAAACCAGTAGCTGCAATGTAGGCTCCCATCTCACACTGCATTTCTGATTTGGCTTCTCCCTCCTAGGCTACTTTAAGAATGCTCATCAATAGGAATAGGTCCATGTCTGGCTCTCTCCTTCCCCCCTGAATCTCAAATAGGGCAAAGCCAGAGCTAAAAACTTCAGTGCAAAGTCCAGCCACCAAGGAACACATCCCCAGTGTGGCTTCACTGCTGCACCTCCACTGCAGGCAACTCCTGAGCAGGAGCTGCCAAGGCAAAGACCAACCTCACGTTCACCACTTGCACATACAACACGTCTATACACCACCTACTAGAAAAATGCTTTCCTCTGAACACTGATACTGACACTTGCATATCCCTGTACAGAGTTTGTGCTGTGAGCTGAAAATTAGTGTCTTTCTTACTAAGATAAAAAAAGGTCTTCATTGGGAAGATGTAAACCAAATCAAATGCACTGTGCTAAATACAGGGGAACCACAGGCATGAGAGATGCTGAGCCATCTTGCGTCTGCATGTGCTGCAAACACCAGAGGGTGTTGCTCCCAAGCTCCTCCTGGAAATTAAGGGTAAGACTTTCTGCATGTGCAAAGTGATGCTGCTCTAGATGCACTAAAATGGTGCATATTTATGCCAGCTTTAGTGTCTGACTCCTGCTTAAACGCCCTCTTCTCAACAAAATAAGGAAAAGGAGGTAAAGAAGAAATAAAGGAAGCTGGATTGGCTACTTGACAGAGGAAAAAGAAGCTGCTCCTCAGAACCAAAAGGTATAAAGTGCCTGTTTTAACCTCTAGCCCTTCCATGGCAACTATGAGCAGCGTGGAAAACAGCATGTGAAGGAGACAGGAAGGAGAGCTTAAATTTGGATGTTTCAGATCCTCCCCTTTGGAACATACTCAAATTCCACTGCAGCTCCTGCAAGATTTCTATCTATCTGCTCCAGAGGGCTTCATTATTACTCTGCTGTAGACCTGGCCTGATCCTGCTTGCAGTGACATCAATGCAAACAAGTGTGACTCCAGTGGTGATACCCAAAGAATCAGTCTCTGGGACCTCTAGAATTGGATTTCAACCTGCTTTGTTGTAAAATAGTAAGTAAGAGCATCTGAATGCTTGAAGTATTTGACATTCAAGGCACATGAGTGCAGAACAAGTACAACTTCCATGCTGAGCTCCTGGTATAATAAAGCATCATATCCTGTCTGCTCCTGTTAATCTCTTTTCTTGCTTCATCTTTCTGGCTGCATAAATCACACCTATTTTGCAAACTCACTGAATGCTGAATCAATGCAAGATACAGAGTTCTCCATGTACAGTTGTTTGCTTGCAAAAAGGCTGTAATTTACAGCATGGTGAAGTCTGCTCACAGGTGCTACACACTTGTGCTCACTTTTGCATAGGCTAACATACATCATTTCCCATACTCCACCATCTCTTCAGTTTCGGGTTGGAGTATTCACATACACTACAGAAGTAGACTAGGAGAGCAACACTCTATATTTTCAATACAGAATCCCTATTCTGCAATGTATAAAATCTTTAATATGGGGTGTTTTCACCCCAAAGCCATGAGATTTGTATACCAACAAAAGCAATAGTCTTTGTAATACACTATGTCTTGCCATTTGGATTAACCTGGGTTTGGTTTACTGATCCAGCTTCAGAGGACTGAAATGGAAGAAGTTCAAACATTCCACAGATTCTTCTTCCATCTGCTTTTAAAGCAACTGTGTCTCTCCCCAACTTCTGCAATATTTAATTAACAGAAACAACTCCAAAGAATCACTGCTGGCTGCCACAAATATTGTGTGAGTGCATCTGAGTTTGAGCATAAGCACTTACTATTTGTTGGTATACTGCTGAGTCCATCATTTTCCAAAGTCTTAAATAGTCATAAATAAGCAAATCTGTGCTATTCTTTGGTACATTTCTGTCTGTTTAAACCACAGCTGAACTTTTAAGTTGTACAAACAAAAAATTGCACTTTTCTCTTCCAGAGGGTCTTGCTAGTCCAACAGGCTTTCAGCTGAAGGATTCCTTATTATACTCAAACCTTGTCCCATAAGAGTTGCTGCTGTTGCTCAGTTTATGAAGTATCTTAGAGATTTTGTTTGGTCCACAACAGAAAACTCCAATGGTCTTCCTGTAAAAACAAAAAAACAAACCCAAAGAAAAAAGTTATGACATTGCAAATAAACAGTAAATTTTGATGATAAACAGAACTGGATTCCGGTCTCACTGAGTTAAGCCAACTATTCACAGATTTTAAGGTGAGAACAACCCACTAGACCATGTAGCTAGTATTGCTGAAGCCATCTCATCTCTCTCAAGTATCCCCATAAAAAGCCTTACTATATATTTAAGACAACTCTTAGAAAAAAAGTGCTTCATCTTAGTCGCAACCAAGTTAAAACACCAAGTTATGAAAAATTACTTTACTTTTTAGCATGATTTATCACTTTTCTTGGTTAAAAAATATGTCTCACCATAATGACTTCACCAGTGCAAGTCATGATTTCCACCAGCAAAAGATTTAGTCACTAGTGGTGATTCCTTACACTAATGAAAACAGTGTGCTACTAACCCATGATTATTCCTGGCAGCAGCAGAATAATTTTACTGCTTCAGTTTCACATTAGCATGCAGTCTTTCCTTCAACAGCTAGATCAGAAAGTCTTAAATCCAAACACAGAACATGATCCTTGTTCATCATCCACAGCTATCAGCCCAGGTTCATTAGTTAACCTGACTTTTTTCATACCACTCCACTGACAACAGCTCTTTGCTCTCTGGTCACCTTAATCACAGGTTTTAAGTCAGACTCACAGCATCTAAGGGCTCTGAACAGCAGCCAGCATCAGAACAGGGCACATCCATATCAGGACTGAGCCATTAGTGATATTCATCATCTCCCTTCTTTTGGAAGATGAGGAGAAGGGAAAGGAAGGAGCAGAGATAGAGGATGCGGTGCTGTCTCTTCTACATCATGAAAAAAAAAAGTGAATTACATTCTTTATTTTCCTGCTGAAATTGTGCCACTACAGAGAAGGATCTTAAAGATTTACTGGGATGGAAAGAGAGCACACAAGAGGGAACATAGCTCTAGTTATTGTGATCTGCAGCACTCACTAAGAGGCTGGAGGCTCGAGTTCTGGTCCTTTTCTCCAGGACTCTTTCAGTATTTTATCTAGTAGCAACTTAATATAAAATACTTTAGCACATGCAGGATAATCAAATGCAGTTTAAAGCTGCCTGCGTCCATATTTGGTTATCGAAGGGAACTAACACATATAGGAGGAAATCTCTGATGCATACTGTCCTGTGTACGTGCCTGATGTTAGGCAGCAGCTCTAATAGCATGGCAATCCACACTGTACCAGTGCACAGCAACACTGGCTTGGAATAATTGAGGACCCAAACATCAAACAGCATCACAAAGTTACACAGGTAATTGCAATGATGTTCTTGTGCAGGCACCTTGCAATGCTGACTTCCATTGCCTTCTATCACATCATCTCCCATATCAATCCATGGTAAATATTCATCACTCGTACTTTTCTCACCCTTATGTGTATCTATTAAACTTTCCTGTCCTGGCAATACTCCTCTTAAACGTAAGGGGTGCTGTGCTGGTGAGACCACTGCTGCTCATTGCTCTCAAATAAGATGCCTGAATATCCTCTACTCTGTGCACAGTGGAGAAAAAGGATACATGAGCTCCCAGTATGAATCTCTCTTCTACTGTGTATCTGACTGAGAGAATCAATGTTGTTGGGGTTTTTTTCATTAGTTTGGTTAGTACAGACAACTAATAAGACCAAAAGTGTTTGCCTCTCTCCTTTTCATTAGATATATATAGCCACTAATGCACAGGCACATCTGAGCAGCACATACTACTAATGTGTTCCCATCCCAGCAACATCCTTCCAAGGTACACAGACTATTTGGCTAATTAGCAGAATCTCAGAAAGCTTAAATGATTTGCCTAAGGTCACACAAGAGACCTGAAACCCAGCTGAGCCACGGCCTGATGGTGAGCCAGATGCTCTCAACTTCATTCATGGGACATGCACCATCAGCATCTCTTCTGGACATATCACAGAATCACAGACTGGTTTAGGTAAGAAGGGACCTTAAAGCTCATCCAGTTCCAACCCCCTGCCACAGGCAGAGACACCTTCCACTAGACCAGGATGCTCCAAGCCCCATCCAACCTAGCCTTGAACACTGCCAGGGATGGGGCATCCATGTACCACAACCCTCCACGTACAACTTGCCTCTCACTTGCCTCCCCACTTCCCTCCTTGCAGACACTCTCCTTCCTCCCTGCCTCATGTGGCTCCTGGGGCTGTGACAGAAGCAGGCAGGCGGCTGACAGCTGAAGAGCTACTACATGGAGTAGCACACTACTATCCTGAGCTGATGGGCTTTAACTGTGTTTGGGTCAATGGCTCACTCACTTTGTTGCTCAGATAAAAATGGGCAGCTAGGGAGCCTTATATCGGAAAATCTTAATAACATCAACATGTTTATAATTAGGGAAAGTATGTTATAGGTCACTCCTTGTAATAAACATTAATACAGGGTTTTACTCATTCAGAGCAATAAGGAAACAACTTCTCAGTGTTCCTATGGGATGAGCAGGTCAGCATTTATTCTTACATCTCTTTTACGATCAGCAGGAGGTGAGGGAGACGTGAAATATTTTGCTACTCAGAGAGTAAGAGTCAGAACTTCAGATATTCCAGTTTCAAACCCCACATTTATTCTTAGGGAGAGCTTTCTCCTTTGAAGTGCATGAGAAATGTACCGTGGCACTCCATGCCTTTCTCTCCTACAGATATATACGTCTTTTTCTAGGTCAGTATCCATCTGGAAAAAAAAGCCCACATCCATTTGACCAATTCAAAACTGAGAAAGTGTGGCAGCCAAGGCATGGTGTAAGCCTTCCAACCAGGATAAGGCTGAACAGGAACAAGGCTGCTGCTCCACTCCCAGAAAGACAGCGCAAAACCCAAGACCGGTAATTTATTATATAAATTATTATATATTTCTATACATTATATACATATTTATATGAATTATATATATTTATACAAATTATTATACTATTATATAAACTATCCCAGTGTCCGCCACTGGGCCTGCGGGTGTCATATAGAATATCAACAGTAGATGGCATGCATCTGCTCCTCTTACTCCAGAGGAAAGACTCGGGAACCTGATACTGGGTTGTCCCATGTCCCGCTCTGAAGGTCTGGCAAGGCTCAGACACTGACAAATGCACTTTGCTTGCTTGGGACCCAAACAGCAACAATTAACAAACCACAAGCCAATGACATGGCTAAACCGAGGAGAGGTTTGCCAGCTGCATGTTTATTTATGCTCAGCTTTTACTAAAATAATAAGATATAAAGTGGAAAATATCGTGGCTGCCCACAGATAAGCCCAAGGGGATGGCTGCAAAGACATGCGAAAGCCTGAACACCCGCACCAGATGTTCGGAACAACTGGGAGACCAGGAAACTGAACTATAGAGAAGACATGAAGTTCCCAACTCCTTCAGAGACATAGGGGGAATATTTACCTACAACAGGTAAGTTTCTGTGGGACAGCTGAGTTACACGTTGCACTGCTGTCTATCACGTTGCATGTAACTACATTTATAGATAAGAACCTTGATACAGGAAAGGGCAAGGAAGCCTACATCTTAGCAAGCTGCAGGATAATCAAGAGTCAGAACACTATTTCAGGTACTGAAAGACACTTTGCTTGCAAACGGTAGCTCAGTTTTAAAGACCTGATATGAAAATGCAGAGAAAAGGGTACCTGAAGTCTAATTAGGAGTAATGCGATGGAAAGCACAAAAGAAAAACCATCTATGACTGCCACTAATGGCTTCATCTATATTACGTGCTCTTACAGCCTTGCACATAAGTGGCAGAAACCTCATCATTTTCAACTTTTAAAACTGCATTCACACAGTTAAACAAAAAAGACATTAAAAGGGAGCATAAAAGATCAACAGTCCTCTATGCAGAGGACTGAGCCAGACAGTCAGCTTGCTTCTCTGACCTATTTCTCTTATTTTCCCACCATTCTTTACTATAAAACCCTTCTCTGAGTGATACTTGTTTCCACAGTGTGAGGATCCTACTAGGGATGTCTCTCCATAGTAGCTTTTGGGGCATTTTGCAAAGCACCCCATCCACAACATCCTCTAGGACCTGAATCTAGGATACAGTGCTAGCAGCTTATTCTGCCAACTGATACCTACTAGCACCCAGTATTTCCCAAGAGCCAGGGCTCAGTGTCCCCATGGCATATCCAGGCTCAGAAGAGAAGAGTCAATGGGCAGATGTTCACTTTGGAAGTGCAACAGAGGACAAGAAGTTCTTGAGGGAAAGTTCTGCAGGAGACCATGAGAGCACCTCTCAACCTGGTGCTCAGATTGCTATCAATAGCTACTGAAGGTGGTTTACTCCCATTCCACTGACTTTGCCCAGGAGTGGATCAGGGAAGATTCACACAATCCCTTCTATCAGATCAGCTTTTAAGGCAGAAAACTGCCAGCTGGGGGTAAAATAACCAACAAAGCTGGACCTGGACAAAGATTCTGCAGTCTAACTGCATATCTTCTTTGGTTTACAACTGTCTTGTTTCAGATCATACTATGTTTGCTTAGCACAGTGAAAAGGCACTGCCAGGTCTTAACAAAGAGTAAAAAGTGACAGGAATCTCCAAAGGCAATATATCCTCTGAATAAAAACAATACAAGTGAGTCAGATTCTTCCTTGTGTATTTTGTTTGCAAACCAGCACTATAAATCATGACAATTATAGGAGAAATCAACAGTTTTAAAACTTGCAACTTTATCTATAAAACCAACATATGCTGCAAGCAAGATATTGTCACAGACAGAAATGTATCTCCATGCAGTGAGATGGAAATCTATTACTTGTATTTTCCAGGCCACTGAACAACCTAGCTGTATGGAAAGATTAACTGTTCTGAGTGCAAAAACCACAAGTTTCAGTTTGTACAGGGTATCTCTCACAGTCAAATAGTAGCTACTTTCAACAACACCAGCTTAAACACTACAATCTAAGATAAAACCCAAAAATACTTTCATACAAGCACAGAAACAGATAAGCAAACTGCGGCATCCTTCAAGCAGGCTGGTACTTACCGCCTGTTACACTTTGCTATTTCATCAAAAAGTAGCTTCCACCGGGGTCGTCCGATCAAAAGCCTTGAGTTTAAAGCTTGGTATTTTTCACCAATTATTTTCTGCAAGAAACAGAGAAACATTCCATTCTGCCTGATTTGCAAATTGCCTCATATCACCCAGGGCTCCCATTCCTGACATTGGCTGACTTACCATATCGCTGAGATGTAAAATCTGAGCACAAGTATCAGACAGTTGTGATTAAAACTGCAGCCATTTCATGCATGACTACCTCTGCTCACTGCCTTCTCAATGGCTCTCCTTGGTGTTCATTATACATTGTTCCTCATGCAGCCGCTCATTAATCTCCCCATTACTTTTAAACCAATTTATTTAAGCCATAAAACAATAACCACGCTCCTATTATTCATTCCCTCATTGGCTTTTAATGCTAAGCTGGAAGAAACACTGCTGATACAAAATTCATACTTCTGTCTGAAGTCTTTTTTCCTAACTTTGTACAAGTAACTATTAAGATGACTACGTCTGAAAAAGTAACAAGGGAAATCTTACATTTCTCCCTAAGAGTAGTTTGCCAGCTGTTTAGAGCTGCTGTAACAGCAGAAAGCAGCCAAAAACTGCTCCCTGGATGGAATGTGACCCATTCCAGTGATGCTCACTCACCAGGCTGGGGATAAGGTCAAATGCCCTTCCCTTGCAGGGCACTGCCCTTCCTTGTTTTTTTTTTTTTATCCTAATATGATAAAAAGGCAGATAAAATTTACATCTTCTCTAGGCCACATATTCACTCCACTGCTGAACAACCTGAAACAGTGCTCATACAAATGCAGCGTCTTGGCTAATTCATGCTCCGTTCGCCTTTTATATTCAGGAGGCATTTGATGAAGGATGGGCTTTGCTCCCTGTTGTCACACAGTCATGCTGCTTCTGAGCAAAGGGAGCATGAAGTGAAACTGTCCTAATCCTGGTAGCAGTCAGCACTTAGGGCTAGTACCAGAGAACACACTGCTGTATGGCAATGGAGAGTTGAGTTTAAGTCCCCCCTGAGAAATCATGAGCAGCATTATGGTTCATGCCAGTTTTGTTCAATAGCCACAAAAGAAAAGTTACTTTAGACTTAAAACAAAGTTGACTTAAATAAATTCAGTAGCTGCTTGATACACAATATTAGAAAACTTGCTTTGAGTTGTCTATTATTACAATATTGCTGTGTCATCACAATGAAGCCCGGCATTGAACATGCTAGGTTCATGAACTGGGTATCTTCAAGCACCCCATTTCAATTGACATATATCCTTCAGGCATTAAATCTGTGGGACAATGTTCATAACTGCTGTAGCTACAACATCATTTAGACTTTGGATAGTGTTCCTACCAGAGCTGTGAATGCTGTGCTATCTCCACCTGATACCAGGCAGATCAAAATCCTTTGGGCATGGTTTCTCACTGCATTTCATGTTTTGTAGTTATTGTTAGGTTTGGCTTTGAGTACACTGCAGTCAATAGAAAGCTTTCAGACACAGCAGGGTGAAGAATCGGGCCCAGGCTCATGTGCTAAATAATGTAAAATGAAGATCATAAGCATAAACAGCTCCAGGAAATGACAAGAGTTGGAGAATTAGCTTAGCTCTGGGATTGACAGTTCAGCATAATTTCCAGTCTCATACATTAAGATATTTGAACTTTTATCTATGTTTGAGGCAAAGAAATACAAAGCACTTAAAAATAGCTAGTTTCTCTCAAAATATTTGTTTAAAAGGAAAATTTGAGCTTGTAAGCTCCAAGAACTTTCTGTTTTGATTCTCAGCCCAGAAATGATGTAGATTTCCCATCAAACACAGCCAACTGTCTGGTCTGTGACCTGGCCTGAAAGGACCTCTTTTCTAGAAAAGGAAGATATGGATTTCTGCCCACACCTAATCAAGTTACAGCTGCTAGACCAAATTCTCTTAATGCTGCAGGAATGGACTTGCTCTCTTGCCCTAGTAATGAATCAGTCACTTGAGTTTATGGCCTCATTTCCTGTTTTTACTATCTGCAGTAATTCCCTTTTGCCTCTGAGTGACAGTTTGCATTGTCTGCTACCCCAAGTTCCAGTTCTGTTTACAAACAGCATTTAGCCACATACCTGTATTCCATCTGTTTGACTGAGGTACAGCTGGATATTTATATAGTCTGGTCGATTCTCCTGCCAAAGCTGGGAGGATGATAAAAACAGCTAGTGAAATAATATCCCTTCTCTCAATGTAAGCGTAAAGTCACTTGTGCCCACTATGCTGAGGAATGCGGGTTTCCGTACCAGTGAAGTAAGCTTTTTAATGAAGAAGTTACACTTCCATAGCACCTCTTTGTGAACTCCAGAATGTTGCATATCATGCTGTGTACACAATATTATCTTAGGAAGCTACACTGCTCTTATATTGTAAAAACCCCTCCCTTCTCAATCTGTCTACCAGCCAAAAGGCTAAAGGCCACTCAAACTCCTCAACCTGTACTTTCTTCTTCCATCTCATAAGTTTCACAGGTAACTGTACAGACCACTGATACATGGCAGTGCTGTGCAATGAAATCCCGATGTCAGCTATACAATTGGTGTGAGTCTGAGTTAGGTATCCCAAGCAGAAGGACTGCTGGAGCTTGCTTGTTTTGAGCAAAGATGTCTTTCTCTATATCGTTGCATGGTGTGGACATACTTAACACTTATTGACAGTATCCCTCCCAAGCAAACCCCATTACCTTGTTATGCAACGTACAGAGCAGATCTGCAAACCAGCGGAAAGACTCAATGTCCCTGCACACCCAAATGAAGTAGAGTCTTCTGAGCTTGTAGCATTTCCAGCCGTCACTTGAAAACAAAATGTTTGGGCAATTAAAAATTGTCATTTTAAAAGGAAACATTAATTAAGATGCTTTATATTCGTTACTGGAAGCAAGAATTTCCCTTAGAAGCTAGCTGCTAAGTTGTTCTTCATCCTATGATGCATCCAACACTGAAATGACCTAAGGATGATCCTGAGAATATTAAATCCCTAGCACAGGGCTAATACCCTTCACAGATACTGCTTCTGCGTTAGGAAGTTGTCAGCTATACAGATGATTTAGGCAGCAAATACTGATTCATGCATCATCATCAAACTTCTATTGCAAAGCAGAGTAGACATCCTAAGTTCAAGTGTATTATGTCAATCCTTTATTAGGTTTACAAAGTAACCCATAAGAGGAAAATATTGACAAATGCACTAATGTCAGGACTTAATTCTGCCTTTATATTTGAAAGGCTCTGCTTGATTATAATTAATACTGTAGTGAAATCGCAAAGACCAAATTAAATCAGAGCTCCATTGTGTTAGGGAACTGTGTGATATATTACAGTCCTCAGAAGATGCTATTGGGTAAACTGTGGCCATGGGCAGATTCTGGCACTGCATCTGGAAAAAAAAGGACTCTTGTGTCAGATTTGTAACTTAAAAAGCACAACTATAGTGCAAAGGTAGGATTGAAATGAACTGGGAAAGAAACTACAAGTGAAAAAATAAATCCTGATGACTGATGAGTTCAAATAAAGCACAAATATCCAGGAAGTATCTTTTTAGCTGGCCAACGCTGCTTTCTGTTGTTCTGATCACTGAAACAGTGCACAGATGGTTTCCTCCTTTTCCTCCTAAAATAATTTTCAGGAAGATAAGGCCACAGGCTTTCGACTTCAAATGCTAGGAGGAGCCAACTGCAGTCAAAATGTTTCATGATACATGTATTACTTCAAACTCTAGTGTTGCCAGCATATCCAGCGAGGGTATAGTATCAATGGATCTACATAAATGATGGTTCCAAGCACTATCGTACCTCCCCATACATCTAATCTCCACTGTAAGACTGAGTAGCAAGGATGGAGACATTCTCAGGAGCATGGAGAGCCTGAGAACTCACCTTTCATGTCAGCTTCCCACAGAGAGAAAAAAAAAAGTGCTTTAAGACTGAGGAGACTTTAAGACTTGTCTTTTAAGTCCTGATTTCAGCTTTTTTATTTGTAAACTGTTGATCTGCAGAGCAGGACTTCCTCTCTTCTTCTGACTACCTATACTAAGATAAACCCTTAGGAAGGGTCACAATCTGGTCAGATGTGACAAGATAACTATGAGCAGTAACAGGGAAAATAAGTGCCTTTCAGCATAAAAAGGAATAAAAAGGAAGAGAAAAATGCAAGGCATTTTGCATTCAAATGCTGTAATTCACTAACAAAACTCTACTCTCCGTGATGAAACACTGCAGATAGACAAAGAAACTGTACTGCAAGACTTCATGAAACAAGATTTAAAATAGCACCTCAGACACATCCACTTGGGTCTACCTCCATTCATCAGAATACATTACACAATAAAGGTGCAATCCACCATTATAAACAAATCCATATGTATATAACACTTCTTGTGTGTTTCTATGTTATCACTGCCCATAATAATAGCCATTATTTACAGACACTTCTGCACGAAAGCTTTCCTTAATGAAGGTTGTATTTTCTTAAGAATAGGGCATAGGGTTCAACAGTTAAGGGCAGGAGGAGGAATTAAATTGTGCACATACAACAGGAACCCAACTGAGCAGGAAACAAATGACTGTGTCGACAGGCTGCTGCTGTCTCCCTCAGACCTGCCCTTGACACACCAGGACTGGTCCCGCTGATCTGCAGTGCTGGCATCATAAGGCACTTTGCATATTCATACCTGCCAAATTCTGCTTCTAAGCCAGGGCAAAGACAACAGGCAGATCATCCCCTAAATCAGAGCTTTGTTGATGTTTAAATACTGAGAAGGAAGGAGGCTGAGACCATTATTTTTTTCCCAGATTTACAGAATGATTTCTCTGTATATTGTACAGTGCAGAAGGGGAAGACTGGCTACAAAGGCTAGTTATGGCTTTATCCAGATAAATGGAATTTACAAAAGCTTCTGGACACTGACCTTCTATGGGTGTATCTATGCAAGTTCCTACAGCCTTTAATAATGCACTGGTAGAGGCAAACATCTCATTGCCTGCTGCTGGCCCATCATTATGCTCTGTGACATTTTTGCTAAAGGCATTTGTCAAGGATAATCCATCACAAGGAAAATGGTCATCTCATCCACCTGGGCCCCAGGCGTTCAGCAAAATGTACCCTCTTTTTGAGAGGATGATCAATACGCTCTCAGGAAAAGAAAACGAGGGAGCCCAAGATGGTCTTTGGGGACTGTAGCTCTATGAGACTTGTGGGGCTGATCATTTTTAGAAGCACTCAGCACTGTCAGGCCTAGCCCAGATCAAGGACAGAAGAATGTGCATATCATCTAAATTCTAGGCTTAAACCACTTTGGAGTTAGATAGAGCTGGCCATTGGAATGTTCTTCTTAGAACAAATGCTTCGGCTGTGCATTGTAAAACCCGCCCAAAGCCAGCTAGCCTTTGGCTGGATGTTTATACAGTGCCTATGAAACATGGGTGCTTACCCTATGACTGGAGCTTTTAGCCAACGCTCAAGCAAAAAAACCCAAATTAATAAAAACGTCAATTCAATCATAAAAGCAAGACTGTTTCACACAGGTTAGGATTTAGTGGGAATCGTGTTGCCAATGTGACAGAAACAAGAGGTGAAAGGTTTGGTCTGAATAGAACGTGAAAGGTTTAGGAAAAAGGCATACCTAAAATGTAAACTTTTAACATGGGGTTAAACATCTGAATGCTATCTGAATCCAAGCTTCCATTAAAACCTAAGCTTATACATTTTACAGACCAGGAGAGCTGGCCATGCATTCCCAGTAGAAAGAGTGTCACAACTTCCTAACTCTCAGAACCTCACTACCGTAGTCCATAGCCTCATATAACATGGGACAAGGGAACCAAGGCTGGCTGAAGGGCTGTGACTACATTACAGGCTAGGTTGGTGCCAGGATATGAAGGCTAGTGACACTGTCCTAGTTCAGGTGGATTACTGGCACAACTCTCCTACTACCCTTTAGGTCACACAGCCTGTAAGGTGTGATTTATGCTCTTCAAGGGACATCCCAGTCCTCTACCTCTCTCCAAGGAATCATTCACTTATGTTTTATTCACTTCCATTATGCTAACAGAAGTTTTCTAATATTCTGACCATCTTTCTAACATGCACTGCTATGGTAAATTGAGGGGAAATGTCTTTAAAAGGCTTAAGCTCACTTACAGCAGTGTGTTGAGCACTGATGCAAACGGTGTAACTCCAATACCTCCAGCCACGCAGAGGCTGACCTCGTAGTTCAGAGATTCCTCAAAGGGGCTTCCAAAAGGTCCATCCACATACAGTCTGCAGAAAAAAAAAACAAAAAACATTTTAGAAAAAGCTGCTAAAATAAGAGAGAGGGAAGAAAAATGATCTGGAATTAAAATCCTATGAAGCATTTGTTTCAATTTTTTTTTAGTCTTGGGATGCCAAATGCGAATGTCTTTTTCTTGGAAAGCTTTATGTGGAGACAAACCAATGCACAGGTGGTATGAAAAACTGCTATATAAAATCTTGTGGCACATTCCATGATTAGAAAAGCTAATTTTTTAATCAAACAAGTGGAGGTGACGAAATTACCACTGCCCTTTGTATCTGGTATTAAAGGACAAAGAAATTGCTGCACTGGAAACAATAACAACTTGGTGGTACATATGGAGGAAGAAAAAGAGTTTGGCTACTTCTGCCTAAGAGGTTCATCTCTTGAACATCAGAAGCAGCTGAGATGGACAAAGGGTTAAAAAAAACTATTTCTCCTGGCTTCTCATAATGTTTTTCAAAGGCATCCAGGGAATAAATAAGAGGTGACACATATCCATCCTGCAGTGCACAAGGGGAACAAATTAACATCTACTCCTTCACTTCATGTTCAGCACTTTGACTCATGCCCCTCATTATTGTAACAGTTTTGTCCACCTTTTTATAAAGATCATTTAGGAGACTGAGTCCCATTTCCAACCCAGTTCTAGAAGAGTACCTTTAGTCAAGGTCCATTCTGTGTACAAGTGGCTCACTGGATCACCACAATTGAGGTAACTGGTGAATACAGCAAAGCGTGTTGGGACTAGGTATTTTCTCACAGGTAGGCCGATTGAGACCAGCCTCTGGCCTGAGACCACAAGGAAACTCCAACATGTATTAGCTTTACACACACATATACTGGTACTATTACACAACTACATCTAATAAGCTTCTCCTTTATCACATCAGTCAGAGAATTAAAGGCAGAGATGTCTCTTTTCCCAGACAAAGTCTTCCAACCTTCACTGATTCTTTCTTTTAGAGGGCTGGATTTTAGCCATAACTCAAGATCCTAGTCTGATCTCATTTCGTTTAGTTTTGTGGTCTGACCCATGTCATCTTACTAGTCAAGACATCTTGTCTGGATGTCTTTGGCCAATATGGTCTTTTCTAGGAAATTTCTTCCAGACCTCTGTTATTGCTGACCTCTTGATGCTGCATATATTAGTCTCTTTATTCTACAGTGTCTTACAAGTACCTACTTTTTTATGAATATGGAGGCAAAAAGGCTGATTTTTAACTATGCCCTGTTTTACAAACTCCTTTTGTGGCTCTTGATGTCCTACCTGAAGAGAAAGGGAGACGACACTGGGCCAGCCACAGCCATCAACAGAAACTACTGGAAGAGCTGCAGTAGATGTTTTTAGGTAACCAATGATATTCGCAACTAAGCAAACCCCAGCCTAAGTATTATTTCTGTCTCTATTCTGAAGTAACTACAATATTCTTGGATATTCTCAAAGCTTTTCAACATCAGGTATGTTACTTCCAGCATGACGAGAATAATTGAAAAACAAATTCACCCTTAGGGCAGATAAGTTCATTTGCACAATGGGGCCAAGAAAAACTTAACTGCACATGTGCGTACAATATAAACAGAATGTTAAGTATCTTCTCATTAAAAGTTTCCTGTTACATGACACTTTATACCCTATTTGCTTAACATGAGTTTATTTTCCAATAATAAAATGATGCCACTGCTGAAGTCCCTGGTTTAAGAGATCTTCTTCATGTTGCACTGTCATTTAGCTGAGGAGGTAAAGCAGTATCTCTTATTTAAATAAGCAACAGGGGAAATGTAGAGAAAGAGGTTATTACTCCAAAATTAATCTTGTCTAGGGGACATTTTGAGAGAAGTCCACAAATGTTATGGGTCTCAGATGCATATCCCCACAGATCTAATTTGGGGATATCAGTGTAGTGTAAAAAGAAAAACAGCTAAGGGTAACAGGATAATGAAGATCAGCGAGTGAAGTCCATTGTCATTCCTGGCATACCTCTTACCCATGTGTTACCCTTATCAGATCCTGCCTAAGTGATGAAATCTGGAGAATCACTCCTACAGGTATAAAGGGCGTAAGAACAAGCCTGAGGGAAATTCCTTGCATTTTGCACAAGCAGCACTAACTTTCATTTGGATATATAAACTCAAAGCCAACATTCTGGGGGAAAAACACACAAAAAGAATATAAAATAAACTAGCAAAGCATATTTTTCCAGAAATTACTACAGTGGATGTGACAATAGCCATATACTGTTGGGGTGCCATGGGACTACACTTCAGCCTACTTGAGGACTATCTGAAGTATGTATTATGTTTATCTCAGAAAGGACTAAGCATTCCTGGAAAGCCTCAGTGCCACTGACTATCCCTGACAGAATCAGACCTGAAACATGCAAAACTGCCTCTGGTCACCACAAACCAGTCAGGCATGGTGAATAATTCTATGTCAGAAATGCAAGAAACAACCTTCAATTAAATATGTGTTTTGGTCAGATTACTCCAGTTTGTGGCCCATTAGCCCCATCTGGCTGGCAAAATATTTCTATGTATCTGCCGACTGTGTCTTCCTCTGAGGGAGAGAGGAACAGTTGTTTGGACATCAAATGCAGTGAGAGAAGCCAAGGGCCTCCTGCTGTGTCTGCATGTGGTCCAGCACAGAACAGCCAGAAGTCACCACTTCCAAGTGTGAGAAAGAGAAGTGGGGAAAAAGCTGGAGAAATATTGCTACTGCGTTAACCCACTCCACAAGACTGCCCAAAAAAACTCATTCTAAGGATATGATCTCCCTGGAAGATTCTGTTGGATGCCATAAACATGCACTATTTAACCCCGTTTTACTACGGGGATAATTTATAACTAAAAGAAATGTGGCTCTGATGTCTTAATGGAAGCACTCATTTAGGAACTGACCCTTTTATTCAAGTCAATGGAAGAAAGGAACCTCCTGATCTGTATCAAACAGCGCAGTGATGAACAGAGCAGAGATTGAGTCATGGACTTTTGCAGAGATTGCACAACTTGTGCTTTCTGTCATCATGTTCCTGCTTGCTTTTGGTAGTACTGAGAATTTTGCATAAACCCAGTTCATTTCTGCACATGAAATCTCAAAGTGTTCAATAAAAAGACAGACAACCCAAGGGGGTTAAAAGATGACTTTTTGTGTCTTGAGTTGTGACCCAGAAATACCACATAACCATGTTACGCTCTCCTATTCCCCAGCTTTAATTTAATTAACATGAAGGAAGGGAATGGAATTTTATTAAAAGTTTACAAATTCCCCCTTCAGGCAAACTTATTCAAGTAACGAGCTGTTCTTTCACATATATTCATTTCCAGTCTTAGGAGTGCTCTCAGTTATTCTGGCACAATTTCTTAGCTCACAAACAGGAAAAAAGCTCCTCAAAACAGAACATATCACACACACACACACACACAAAAATAATAAGCAGAACATATTCTTAAAAAGCATCTTACAGATAGCTGGTGAACATATTTTCTATTTAAGTCACATTCATATTCTAGATGCTGGGGTACAGAAATACCCCAGCAAGCACCAAGACTGCTTGCTCCAACCCTGGGAAATGAAACTGCACTAACATGGGGCTGTCCCTAAACCAAGACACACTGTCTCAGGAACACGGGCAGCTGTACTACTTTTGAGACCCAAGTTATAGAATCATGGAATCATAGAATGGTTTGGGTTGGAAAGGAACTTAACATCATCAAGGTCCAACCCCCTGCCATGGGCAGGGACACCTCACACTAGACCATGCTCCTCAAGGCTCTGTCCAACCTGGTCTTAAACACTGACAGGGATGGAGAATTTACCACTTCTCTGGGCCATCTGTTCCAGTTCCTCAGCACCCTCACAGTAAAGAACTTTTTCCTTGTATCTAACCTGAACTTCCCCTGTTTAAGTCATTACTTTCCATAAGGAACTGCACAGTGATGTGTGGAGACACTTGCTCACACCCCTGCTGGACTTGGGCCTCAATGCTATACTTTACTTGTAGGTGCCCTTAGAAAAGTTTAATGCTTATATTGTGCTTCATTACCCAACTGTAAATGCTGATGTTACCTTTTTCCCCCAGGCTCTCTGGGAGCTACTGTGAGACATTATCTGGGATGTTAGTGGAATAACAGATGGATCAGGGAGTTAACTCAAGAGCTCGTAGGAAATTTTAATTAAAGAAGTATCAGCATTTGCAAGCTGAGAAAAGTGCTTGGGTACAAAGTAGTGCACAGAGCACAGAAAGTGAAGTCCTACTCTAATGGAAGTTAAATCTTACCCATGTCAACAGAGTAAGGATTTCACCCAGCAGTATGATATTTTATATCCTTGGAGCAGTATGCAGTTTGTTACTAAGACCCAGGTGTGGGTGATCTTTGTATGAGCAAGACTAATCCTCGATACAGCCAAAAGAGATGCAATCAATACAGTTAATGGAGCCTAGAGAGAGCTTCAGGATGTGATGAATTGCTCTCTATGTCTACTGACTGTACTGAGTCAATCCAACAGGACCTTAGAAATCAGCATTCCTCTGGAACAGCAGCAGAAGGCCAAGCAGAACTGAAGTGGCAGTAGACACCCAGCCAGAGTTACCTGACTCCAGACCTAGATATCCACTGAGACAGCTGGAGCTTTGATAACTAGCTCACACACACACCTACAGCTGGAGCCAAATCCCTCCCCTGATTCCTCACAAAAAGCCCATGTCATTGACTTCAACAGGTTTTGGATAAAGTTCTCTAAAATCACAGTAAAAACAACTAAATAACCCCCCTCCCATGCTTGTTCTTCTCTTTAATTTGTCCTACTGAAACCAAAGTTCAGTACTGCCATGAAGAATATGGCCTGAGAACTCCAAGGAACAAAGTATATGATGGCTGAAACGATCTCCTTATGTTCTTATGCTGCTGCAACTCTTAATGCACCAGAGAGATGTTATCACCTCCCTCTGATAACCCACGATACCAGCCTCCACCTGCACATGATGAA